CCAGGTAGCGCGCTGGAGAGCGCGTCTCGCCCAACCTTCCTGCAGCCGGTGCCCGAGCCTAGCTGGGGAGGATGGGACTTGTAGGGAGACCTCCCACCCCCCGGGACAAATTCACCTTTTTTTTTTTTTATTGCATCCCCAGCTTTTAAAGGCATGGCTTTCCAACCCCCACAGGGCTGTGGGAGCATGGCCACTCTCGCAGCCCCGATGGGCTCCCCTTCCCCTTCTCCCCAGCAGCCAGGAGGGTGGGGGTCATGGTCTGGCCCAGCCAGTGGGCACCAGCCCCGGGAAGGTCTAGATCAGTGCTTTCTCATCCATTCTGGTCGATCCTCAGCCTGGGGTCTCCCCGCACTGAGGACTAGCTCCTTGGTTCTCTTCCCACAGGTGACAGCATGACCTCCCCCGGCGTGACTCCAGGCACCGAGCTGGACATGAAAGACGTGGAGCTGAACGAGATGGACCCCGAGAAGCAGCCCATGAACGCCTCCTCCCCCCTGGCCGGCTCCCCGGGCAGCCTGGGCGAGAAGAACGGGGTGGTGAAGGTGAAGTTGGAGGAGGAAGAGGAGGAGGCCGATGTGGCGGCCAAGTTCACCGGCCTGTCCAAGGAGCAGCTGCTCCAGGTGGCCGGCACGCCGGGCTGGGTGCGCACCCGGTGGGTCCTCCTGATCCTCTTCTGGCTGGGCTGGCTGGGCATGCTGGCGGGGGCCATTGTCATCATCGTCCAGGCCCCCCGGTGCAAGGAGCTGCCGAAGCAGGACTGGTGGCAGAAGGGAGGCATCTACCGCATCCTGCGGGTGGAGGGCTTCCAAGATTCGGACAGCGATGGCACAGGAGACCTGGCAGGTGAGGGGCCGGCTGGTGGGGAAGGGTGGCCCCAACTGCCCCCTCCTGCTCCCCTTGCCTCTCTGTCGCTCAGACTGGGGCTTCTGGGGGGGGGGATCCGCGGATTGCTCCGTCTTGTCCTCGCGAAAGAGACACCTCCTTGCCTCCGAAGTCACGAGAAGTCCCGGGATCCTGTTGGCACGCCTCAACCACAGCCAGAAACTAAGATTTGGGGGTCAAGCCACCCTCGGCTGGATCGTGGCTTAGACATCCCACGAAACAGCAATGGGGGGGTTGGGGGTTTCCATGTTGGGTTTCCACCCCCCCCCCCCCCGCAAGCTGGCTTTGACTCCACTCAGCCTCTTCTTCATCTTCATCTTCTCCCCCTCCCCAGCCCAAACCCCGCTCCAGAGACTAGGAGCGCCCAGAGCCAGGGAAGTTCAAAGGGGCAGAAATGGGGAGAGCAGCCTCCATCGTCCGTGTTTGGGCTGGGGGGCCCGTGACGATCTCAGTCGCCCCTTCCCAAGCTTCAAGGGAACGTGCTGTACCAGCCAGACCGCCCTGCACCAAAAGCCAGTTTTAGCCGGCTTTGGCTTCCCGCAGCAAGTGCTGAGTTGGGTTTCATCAGCTTCTGACGTCAGGCCAAAG